GCTATTGCAACAAGTCTGTTTTTGCAACCGGTGTGCGCGGTGTCATGTGACGTTTGACATCATGTGTGATGTAGGTTGGTAATTCCCCTATTACATCATAGAGTTCATAGAGTAGAACATTCTATAACCTGTTGTTTTGTCAGACTGCCTTTAATATGAGCTATTTTAAAGGAATAACTACATTTCTAAATGTTTTCATAACCATAAGACCTCTTATGCTGTGTTCATACCAAAATTAAAGATTAGCATAATGTAGATTAAATACAAAGTCAACGTGAACAAAGCTGAATTTCCACAGAGTCATGGAAATGATGTGGAATGCATAATAAAATGTAATTTGAAATTAAAATTCACAAGGCAAAAAATATCCAACAAGTTATCTAGAGCAGTGTTTCTCAAGCACGTTCCTGGAGGACCACCAACACTGCATGTTATGGATGTCTCCTTTGTCTGTCACACCCATTACGTGTCTTTCAGCCTCTGCTAATGAGCTGATAATCTGAATCTGGTGTATTTGTTTAAGGAGACATGGAAAATGTGCAGAGCTGGTGGTCCTCCAGGAACGTGGTTGAGAAACACTGATATACAGCAAGTGGCGCAATGCTAGACTTGTCTGGTATGAACCCAAACTTATATGATGAAAGACAGAAGGATTTTTCCACCACTACATGACGACTTTAATTAAAAATAAATATGTGACCGTGGATCATAAAACCAATCTTGTGTTGCATGGGAATATTTGAGGGAAACTCCAAAAATAAATGTATGAGTGTATGATCTTATGCCAAAAAAAATCCCTTGCATATTAAGTAAAGAGGGCGAAGCAGTGGCGCAGTAGATAGTGCTGTTGCCTCACAGCAAGAAGGTTACTGGTTTGAGCCTCAGCTCAGTTGGCATTTCTGTGTGGAGTTTGCATGTTCTCCCTGCCTTTCCATGGGTTTCCTCTGGGTGCTCCGGTTTCCCCCACAGTCCAAAGACATGCGGTACAGGTGAATTGGGTAGGCTAAATTGTCCATAGTGTATGAGTGTGTGTGTGAATGTGTGGGTGGTTGTTTCCCATAGATGGGTTGCTGCTGAAAGTGCATTCGCTGCGTAAAAACTTGCTGGATAAGTTGGCGGTTCATTCCGCTGTGGCAACCACGGATTAATAAAGGGACTAAGCCGACAAGAAAATGAATGAATGATATATTAAGTAAAGATTTTATTCCATGAAGGAATGTTGTAAATTTCCTTCTGAAAGTATAACAAAGCTTAATTTCTAATTAGTAATGCGCATTGCCAAGAACTTCATCTGGACAACTTTAAAGAAGATTTTCTCAAGACTTTAATTTAAGAGTTCTTCAGAGAATCTCAACCTAAAACTGTACTTCCTAACAAACTCAACATAAAAGGGAAGGTTTATTTCCAAAAACAAACCGTGTAACTGGTTTGGTGGTCCTGGGTCGTATATTTGAAATGAATATCATCATAAAAGACATGTAACAGAAGAAATATGTCTGAATGACACATTTGTGGAGATTAATATTGTTTTAAATTGATTGAGGAACATAAAACTCACCTCGCACAGTGAGACTGAAAGCCTTGCTCGCATTGTTAATGTGTAGTTGATAAAGTCCATTATGATTCATTCTGGTGTCTGTGATGGTCAGAGATCCAGTTTTATTGTCCAGTTTCAGTCTGTCTCTGAATCTCCCATCAAGAACATAATCAAATACAGAGAATCTGCCAGCCGTGTCGTTGATTTCTGCTATTAAAGCATTTTCCCTCTCAAATCTCCACTGAATCTGATCATCATCCATCATTTCAGTGAGACCAGAGCACAGAGTGATATAATTGGTCTCCCGGACAAACACCGGTTTCACATCTTCATCACCAAACACACCTGAAAACCAGATTAAATCGCCCAATTCTGAATAATGAAGCATTTACTAAAATAATCAACAATAACGTGCCAGAACAAAAGCCAAAAAAACTATTAATACTCACCAACCAGACACCACAAGCAGAACAAAACTAATTTCAGAAACATTTTCTCCATCGTTCACAGAACACTTTGCAATAGCAACGAAAACACTCGCTGAACTGCGATATTTATCTGACCAAACTCAGTTTCCGTTCGCGTGTCCATCTCCTTTAACATCATGAAAATCTAGAAGCTTTAGCTGATCTTGCATAATCTGATTCATTCTGGCCCTGCATGTGAACCTCCAGCAGAAAAATGTCTGAATTACGCAATACACAATCAAATGTGCTAGCACATTAGCGCTGTTAATGTATTAGCAATTAGCATGGTTTATAATATGCTAGCACTATAACTCCTATCAGTACTTTGTAAGATTATGGTTATTTGACCTTCGCCCATCAAGGGTTGCCATGTCATGATCTCTAGAAGAAAACTCTGTACATTTTACAGTTAAATGCATGAATCTGCCTTGAAAACAGGTAGGTGTGGCGTTGACACAATGCTTAACTGATCCTGTGCCACAAAAAAAGTGTGCCAAAAAAAATATACACCCACCACTACACCACCAGCCTGAACCCTTGATCCCAGGACTGTGCAGAGATCTTTCGAGGTGCATCTGCTTGAAGTGAGGAAGGGGGTGTTCAGACAATTGCGAAGTGAAGACCGGGGGGGGAGATGGGTGGTTGGCTATCGCGAAGTAAACATGGTACCTGAAAAGAAACTTCAGAGATCATGAAAAACTATTTCAGACTCACCAACCAGACACCACAAATAGAATCAACATCTGCGAAACATCTTCAACAATGGCTTCTGTTCACAGATATGTAAAGATCAACTCTGGTCGACTTCCGGATAGACGATGGAGTAAGACGTTCATTGTGTAGCTCCGGTAACTCACTCAAATTTCACAAAAACAAGACAACAAAAAGCTCGTCAGTGCTCTCTAATTCTTTATAATGTTGCACATGTTCAATATTCGTTGCAGTTTGCGCGTTTTCAAATGCTGTCGAAGAAACAGGAAAGAAAGGTGTCGCTAAAGGGGAGAAAGCTCGACCAAGAGGGCAGGCGCGTTGGAAGACACCAGGGGCATCATGTACAAAGACTTGTGTTGAATTCATACAAAAAAATTGAACATTGTAAAAAAATCAGATGTATGAAACACTGCGTACGCCAAATCCCACGCATGTTCTCTTTGTACATCCGAATTACGTTAAACTGAGCGCAACATGCATGAGCGCAAAACCCCTCCCTGCCTCCTCCCCCTAATAAATACGGTAATGACTCTACCTTGGCAAATATATATGGTATATATATACACATACATACATACACACAAATATACAAATACATACACATATATACATACAAACATACATGCATAAATACATATATAAACACATACATAAATATATATATATATATATATATATAAAAACACATACATATATATATATATATATATATATATATATATATATATATATATATATATACAAACAAATATATATATATATATATGCGTGTACACACACACACACACACACACACATACACACAAATAAACATACACAAATACACACACACACACACACACACACACACACACACACACACACACACATATATATATATATATATATATATATATATATATATATATATATATATATATATATATATATATATATATAAGTACCAGAGAAGAATTCCTTCATGAAATCTATCAAATCACTCTTTTTGTTTTTAACTTAAATTAGACCTTTTCAAAGTTTCCATCTTTAATAGAATGATATTGCATTTTAGTATTCATTTTGCAAATTTCTGTTTATGAATAAAATATTTACGTTGTAAGTTGCAGAAATTAACAACATACTCAAATGTTCTTTTTGTGTGTGAAAACGTGCAAATGACATCTTTTAAAGATTAACATTTCTTTGCCCAAATAACATGTCACTAACATCGTTGCAAAGCAAGGGTAAATTTTGTGAAGCATTTAAAGTGCACTTCTTTTACCTTATTTAAAAGGCCAAATTTAAAGGGGGTTGACCAGGTGAATTTCCAATTAATATCAATAACTTTTTCATTCCAATAATATTTCCCTCTTGGGGATATTTTGTGTTTAGATTGAAACAATTGTGTATTTTTTATTATTATATGTTGGAGAAACTATGTCAATTTTTAATTCTGGGAGTATCTTTTTAAATCATCCATCAGAAAGGTGACTAATAATTAGCTGTATAAAACCAGATGGATTAGCCTTAACCACTTGGTGACATTCTTTAAAAGGAATTGGAAAGTTGTGTATCCTCATATAATCCCTATAAGAGAGTATGTGTCCATTATCGTAGAACAAATCTGTAACGAAATATATATTTCTTTGAAACCGCTTATGTAAAATTAAAGATTTTATTTGTTTATTTATTTATTTTTTATTAAAGAATGCAAATATACAACCACAATCAGGAGATAGATAAAAGAGACATACAAAGGAGAAAAATACAAATTACATTAGCTGCAGAAAGAAAAGAAAAAAAGATTAATAAAACAAACGAAGGGGTAAGTAAATTACAATTGTATAAAAGTGAATGAAATTAAAATAAGAGCATTAGGAAAGCGTTCTACCTCAAATCAGAGTCAGTAGACAACAGTTCTTCATATAGAACCAGGAATCTGACACATTTTTTGTTTTTACATATACGGAAAGATTTGAGCAGTGAGTCAACTTTAATCAGAAAATGTCGAAAAGTAGGGACTGAAGCCATGCATTTTTGCTTATGTATAAAAAAATATCCAAACAAGATAAAAAAGTTGAAGATAAATTCTTTAGATTTATGTGTAATTTATCGGAGTAATAACAAATCATTTATTTTAAACTAAAAGATTGTGCAAAGGTAGGAGGGGAGTTTAAATAACGATAGAGGTCAGACCAAACTTTCTGAACAAATTCACATGTACAAAATAAATGTAAAAATAAAGATTTGTTTCTTGAGGTGAGGAAGGAAGTGAAACCAAGAGAGCCTTCGCTGCATCCGGTGACGTCAGAAAGCTCGCGACGTTGTCATGGTGAAAGTCGAGCGTCGCGTTCTCGTCAGATCCTAAAACGCGGTTTGTTATGGTTTTAAAGCGCTGCTTGCTCGGCTTTAACCGAGTCGGTGCTTTCTGATAGCACTTTAGGTGATGTTTACTAATTAATCAATATGTGGAGTCGCGGAGGACCACGGAGTTCAGCTTTGGACAGAGCTAAAGCTCAGCTCTCTGGACAGAGGATCTTAAACACTGCGGTTGTAAAGGACAAAAGAGATGAGGTTTGTGTTTTGTATTATACAAGTTTCTATATACTTACTTTAATGCACATTATTGGCGTTGTTTTGTATGGTTATTTTACATATATTGTGCAGTTATTTAAAAGGAAAAACACCTTTCTATTTATTGTTATCAAAAATGTTAAACTTTCTACATTCATTTTCTTTTTGGCTTGGTCGCTTTATTTACCTGAGGTTTCCACAATGGAATGAACCGCCAACTTATCCAGCATATGCTTTACGCAGCGGATGCCCTTCTAGCTGCAACCCATCGCTAGGAAACATCCATTCACACACACATGCTACGGACAATTTAGCTTACACAATTCACGTTACCACATGTTTTTAGACTTGTGGGGGAAACCGGAGCACCCGAACACAGGGAGGACATGCAAACTCCATACAAAAAAGCCAACTGACCCAGCTGGGGCTCGAACCAGCAAGCTTCTTGCTGTGAGGCGTTCTACCCACTGCGCCACCCAAAACTTTCTACACCTTTTTTTTTTTTAATAACAGAAAGAAACATTTACATTACATTATATGACACTAAATATCATGGAGCAAGACTCAGAAATGTTTCTTTAAAGTAGATTAAGAAATCAACGACATTTAAAGATTTAGATCTTTAAGAAAAATCTAAAGGAAAGGTTTCACGTATAAAATTATGTGTAAAATATTTTGACAAAAATATAATCAGGTTAAATAAATAAATAACATCTGGTTTCCCAGTGATGGGTTGCGGCTGAAAGGGCATTTGCTGTGTAAAACATGTGCTAGACAAGTTGGCGGTTCATTCCACTGTGGCAACCCCAGATTAATCATCAGCCAAGCATCAGCCAATCATAACTAAAAACTTAATATATTAAATAATATATATTCAAACTTTTATTTAATGTTTACAATCCAAATCCAATTAGATCCACTTATTTGGTAAACAAAGCAAGTCTCTCATGTAACATATCTACTAAAACAGTGGTTCTCAAACTGTGGTAGACATATCAGGCTTCCTTCTAGTGATATGTGGAGGAATCTCTGAATAATTCATGTAAAAAAATGAACACACTTTTAACCCTTTAACCCAGGGGTGTCAAACTCAATTCCCGGAGGGCCGAAGCCCTGCACAGTTTAGTTCCAACCCTGCTCCAACACACTTACCTGTAGGTTTCAAACAAGCCTGAAGGACTCGATTAGTTTGATCAGGGGCCTGTTTCAGAAAGGAGGTTAACTGAAAACTCAGAGTATTTTAACCCTGAAATGAGAGAAACTCTGGGTTTTCCGTTTCAAAATGGCAGGTTTGTTAAACTCGAGAAATCAGGGTAAGTCAAGCCTGTTTCTGAAAGAGAGTTAACTTTAACTCAGAGTCAGTTACTGTGGTAACTTACTCTGTGAATCTAACCTGGTCAGAAGCAGGTTTTATTCTCTAAACTCAGAGTTTCTGTCGGTCTCCTCCCCTTTTTTTAAAGATGAAGCGGTATTTCACGCCTTAGCCTTACGTTTCCACACACCTATTTTAATGCTCATTTTGGATACGTGCATAAAAACGATTGATAGAAACGTCATGATGCACATAACTTTTTAAAATATGCATAAAAAACGCACATAACTGAGTAGGATAAACTTTTATTCGATAGAAAATGTGCGCATAAATTACGATGGAAACACTTTTACTGAACAAATTACAGTATGTACATTAAAAAAAAGATCATGATCATATGATAATGAAAATGTGTGTAAATGGAGGCTGAGAACACTGTAACACGTCTTAAATATTGTTTTAGTCATTCTAAAATGCCTTTACAGTTTCAGTATTAGTGTATATTATTAATTACCTCCGAACGTCTGGTGCGTGTCAAGAGTCTCCGCGTCTCATGGCTTCAGACGCCCCCACGTGTTCATTGTGTTTCAGCATTGTCTTCTGACATCGAGGCGCAAGTACATTATTTAGGCTAAATAAAGAATTAATTGACGCAGCTTCTTCTACCACAGTAAATTCTGTTTTTACTGTTGATATTTGGTGCCAGTTAAATCAGGAAGTGACAATTTTTTTCTCTTTGACTCGTTGGATGGAATTTTATTCGCATCTTTTATGCAATATTGCAGTTTTGCACATAAATTTATGTAATATATTTGGATGGAAACATAGCTATTGCCTACATTTTAGTCACACACAGAAGAACTGTACTAGAATGGCTTATGCTTTTTTAATAAATAATTAAATTGAATTCACCTTCGATATGCACTGTAACTAGATTAATGGGATTATTATTCTTTCTAAAAATTATTTTTAGTACTGCTTACCTTCTAAATGTTATATTAACCTCTCTCACTTGATCAATAAAAAAGGCAGACACACAAGTGCACTGTTAAATCATTTAAAACTAATAAATGTATAAAAGAAAGTTTAGAAAAAAAAATATATAAACGTCACAAATTATTATACTTAAATATTTAAATACTTAAAAAGTTAAATTAGGCATTATCTTGAGCAGCTGTTTTCCCACGCTAACTGGTTGATGGCTGCTTCTTTTCAAATATATACGCTCATATTTGCTAGAACTTTGCATGAGAACATCAAGTTCAGCTGGAGAAAGAAATGGTGATCTCTTTTATAAGATATTGTCATAGTCACTCGTAATGTCTGCGCTCCACTGATAATGCCTTTTTATAGTCACGGTGCGCGCGCTTAACTCTGAGTTGGTCTACTCGAAGTTGATTGACCCAACTCAGATCAGCTGTTCTGAAACCGAAAACTCTGAGTTTTTAATCTCTCGGTAAATCAACTCAGAGTTCAAGTTTAAACTCTGAGTTGTTTGAACCTCCTTACTGAAACAGGCCCCAGGTGTGTTTAATTAGGGTTGGAACTAAACTGTGCAGAGCTGCGGCCCTTTTGGAACTGAGTTTGACACCTGTGCTTTAACCCGTATGATAACACCAATGTGATCAGTTAATTAATTTTAACAGGCTAAACCTTTTACTTTATTTTAAATTTTCTAATGTTTGTTATGTATTCTGTCATTTGAAGCTAATTTCCTCCCCATATTTGTAACGGTTGTTGTTGGCGTGTCCCGTATTTTTTATACCCCAATTTTGACAGGAATAGTTTAATCACTTGTTTTTCTGACTCACAAAGCCTACTCTAATGCCTTAATTAGGCCTACTACCCTCCTGTATTTCAAAACCGGTCATTATGGTGGTACTTGAAGAGACCATTTTTTTCTGAGGTGGTATTAGGTGAAAAAAGTTTGAGAACCACTGTACTAAAAGACAGAACACATTACTTTACAAACTGTATTATAAATAAATAATATGAACATTTTAATATTACTATTATTATATCACAATAATATTAGTGAAATTAATTTAAAAACTGAATAAATTAAAATTTATACACATTTACACAAGTAAATACATAGACTCGATGGGCTAAGCCTGATTTATACTTCTGCGTCAAGTGACCGGCGTAACCCACGGCGCATGCAACGCGCGTGGCTGTGCGTTTATACTTCTGCGCGCTGTCTCTGTTGGTCTGCATTAATACTTCCGAAACGCTAGTTGGCAGTGAGGTGTAAATGTTCCTCTGTGTCGAGTTTCTTCTCTGCTGTTTTGCATTTCCTGAACACTTCCTGGATGTACAAGTGTCTCAAACTCGCTCATTTTGAGGCAGGAACCGGCGGACGTGCAACAACTTTAACTATGAGGTAAACACAAAACAAAACTTTCCATCCGGAGCTCCTTCACGGGACTCCACACTTGTAAACAATCGATACATGGGACTCGCGCCATTCGCGCGGCTCTCGGTCCCGCCCAGACTTGTCAGCGCTACCAAGCCGACCAATCACAGAGCTTGCGCTACACGTCGTTGCGACGTGTAGTTACAATTTTTGAGAGGTGCACGTCTGCGACGCCGACGGCCACGGCGAAGGGCTATGCGTCAGCGCCTTCGCATACGCCGGCGTTTGACGCAGAAGTATAAATCAGCCTTAAAGATCTGCGGAAATCTGCAGATTTCTGCTCGCAGAGAGTCCGTGTGGGCTCACGGTAAATGAGTGGCTTTGAATTATTTCAATTATTTTAAAAGGGTAATTCTCTCATGTGTCGTTTAATAACAGTTTAATGAGACGTTTGTAAGGGAAAGAAGTAAAATACATTCAATTGATTCCACTATTATTATTCGATATATTTATAATGTGTTGTAGCACCTGTAATTTTCACCATGTTTATCTTTATCCAGAAAAACTTTGTGCAACCGTCCAGACAGACCCAATTCCAAGACCTCAGCGATGCATCCTCACCATCCCAGACTGAAAACCAGGACCCTGCGAGGAGTTTTCACTTGGGTGGTGGTAGTCGATTTCTGAAGAAGACCTCTAAAGGCACCACAATTGAGAGAACTTCTGCAGGAACGGACGAATCTAAAACCATACCTCAGCGTAGCTCACAAAGCGCCGCGTTAAGCAAACTAGCGCTCATCGAGAACCGCATCAGAAACCAGAAAATCACAAGCAACCATACAGAACCACAGGAAATACGTTTGTCCGTCCATTCCAGCAGCGATCTGAGCATGACGGGAAGTCGCTTTCTGAAGAAGAGCATTGTTTCTGAACCTCAGGAGCTGAAGTTTCCTGAGACGACGCCTGGTCTGAATGAACGTAGAGAAAGGAGAGTCAGTTTAGACAGCGACGAACAGGACATGAGAAGACTTATAGGAGACTCTTTCAGTTTATCAGAGAGTTCCTTGCTAAATGCAGCCAGGCAGAAGAGTCCTCAGGTAGCCAAAAAGGTTGGTGTTATAACAACTAAATGGGTATTTGAATCCAGATTACTCACCCTGATTTCGTTTTGTTTCCGTTTACTTATCCAGAATAGAAAACATCCATATCCTGGCATTTAAATGGGAGGCAATATCATTTTTTTTTTTTTTACAAGAAAAGCATTATGAACACTTAAAACAGTTGCAAATATTGGAGTCATCTTCATTTGTTGAATAACTTTTTTAAACCCCTTATTGAGAAAAGAACCATATATGGTTATATCGTTGACATTTGATTTACAAAAACGTAAAAAATTAAGTCATAAAAGTTCAAACGTCTTGTAGTCAAACCTAGTAACACTCCAGGAACTTTTTTTCCAGTTAGTATTTCAATAATGGATAAATCGAAACATCTGATGAAGAGAAATCCAGTCAGACGGATACCTAAAAGGCTTTCTTACCCAGTTCAGTTCCAACAAAAGCAACAAAGAGAGTTTAAGAGTGTTTAAAAATGAAGGAAATGTTACATTTTAAATATTAAAAAATATCCTTTGTATAAAACAACCGAGAGGCAAATAGGGGTGAGGGAAAATATCGATACAGCATTGCAATATTTTTCATGCCAATACTATATCAATACACGGACACCTATATCGATTTTACGCCACAAGGCTAGGCGAATACAACATGGGCATAATAAAGTTAAAGGGCCAGGAAACCCCCTCATTTCAGCAGTTGTTTTCACACTTCTACTTTGGAAAAAGTCAGAAAAGTGGGCGTGTCCAGCTTTGTTTAGGGGGAGTGTCGGAGAAACTAAAGAGGGATGGTGTGGGAGTGTCTATTTGGGCGCGCTGAGTTTCAGAGTCAAAATACACACACAGGGGACAAAGTGACTGTTTACATGGACATCTGTAGTCGAATTATTTGCCAAATTATTAAATGGTGGACTTTAACTGCAGTTTGGCTCTTTTATTCAGGGAATTCATTTATGTCCCTCGCGACAAACGAGATATTTGATTTGAAGAGCTGCTGTAAGCGTGTATTTTTCATGCAATGTTTGATACCGCACGGCGAATGAGAGAAAAAAAAACTCAGCATTTCCCGGAAACTTAGATGCACACGACAGCTAGCGTCAGAAAGCCGCGTGTGTTATTCCAGTCACAAAATGCGGTGAAAATCCTACACAAGGTTAAAGTTTGGTTGTAGTGCTAACATGTTTACACTCGGTGCAATAGTTAATAACGCAAAAACAACCAATTTACACTTTTTAGTGAAATATAGGTGTCCTAATAGTGTTTTTAGCAGTGTGGGACACATATACGACTGTCAACAGCTCAAAACATGTGTTTTGGTGATTCGTGACCCTTTAAGGATGTGGATGGTGCATTTCCCAAGGAAAACAGAAAAAACATATGCAAAAGATCCCCTTTGGTTGAAAACCAAACGCAGACACTCAGTTGAGAGTAATTAAATAGATTTCCCTACAAAAAAAAAAATCGAGCTTGGTTTTAGCTGGTTGACCAGCCTGGTTTTAGAGGGGTTTTGGCCATTTCCAGGCTGGTTGAGTTTAACTTATTATTTATATAATCTAATAATTAACTTCCAGTAAATTTTGAGTTAACCACACTCATTTCATTTGATAAAGTTAACTCTTGGGATTTACAGTGTATATTAAAATCTCTTACTCCCCAAAAAGAAAAGTTGTAACATTCGCTCAAGTGGTTTTGAGCAAAGGGTTAATGTGAATAATGGGAGATGGAAACGCATTTTCAGTACAAACTTTCCATTACGCTGCTCTTTATTGTTGGTTGCTAGGTTACCAATACTACAGTCTGCCACTCTAACAACATGATGGAAATGTATCTAAGTCATGTTAGGGATTTTTTAAAATGTATTTATTTTATTTAATTTTTTTGCGAACTTTGAAAAGTTTAACGCCACGTTAAGATGGAAATCTGGCGGTTGTCAACAATGATACCAAGATATTTATCTGCTTGTTAAGAGTGACTCCACATAAAGTGGCTTCCGGGTCCAATCGCTCTATCAAACTGTAGAGGGAGACCCAACAAATGCTACTAATAAACGTTTTCACAGCAATGTAATACTTCCGTAAATCATATATATATATCCATGCCTAATATCCGATGACCAGAAAGTGATTAATTTTTTATAAATGGTTAAAATAGTGGAGTCCAAAAAATGTTGCGCACCATGATTTTATATAATATTCACTTTAACGTGTGATGTGACTAAAAACTGGTCATAAACGAATATTTTCTTCATTCAAATAAGTAGCGGCTTGGACCCGGAAACAGTATTTCATACGTCACGACTTAACAATTGGATAATCTTTTACTAATTATTAAAAAAAAAGGTCACATAACCTTTCTCTTCTGTTCTTTTCATGACTTCTTTTGAATCTCGTTTTTCCAGGTAAACACGGGGAGCACTGGGAAATCGACTGTACCTTCAGCAGCTCCTGAAAAGCATCCAGTTATCAGTCATCAAAGTCTTTCCCCTTCCCCCAGAAGACCTGAATCACGTATGGTCCGCTTTACCGAACATTCGCTGTCTTCTGAAACAGATCACAGTGAGATTCATTCTTTGAATGATCTTTTTCCTGCTGCTCCAGCACATGATTCTGAAGACACTCTGAGCGAGATGAGTGCAGCATCTGATGGTAAAAACAGCAATGCGTTGGAACTATCTGCAAACTGTAATTTGACTTAATTGTTCACAAAAAAAAAGTCTATTTAACCCTTGTTCTTGATGATTTATTTGCAGATTTCAAACTGAACGTAATGACACTTGATGATTTAGCACCTATACCTTCTGAGGCAGCTGAAATCTCACTTGAAAAGGTAATCTGAATACGTAGGGTCTGTCTACACTAATCCAGAATCCATCAACACTACCTGACAAAAGTGTTGTAGCCTATCCAAGTTTTAGAAAAACAAGTAATAACTACATTTCTAGTTGATCGTTTGGTATCAGAAGTGGCTTATATGAAAGGCAAAGGCCTCTAGATTACGCATATTTTACCAAAATAAAATATGATCATGCCTTGATTTTTAATGATTTCATTAGGACAGTAAGCTCTGACTTTGCTTAGAAAAGTCTTGTCACTTAACAGACATAATGTCCCATATAGAATATAAAGTCCTGCTCAGTGGAGACAGAATGAATATTGTGTCTGACTCCATCATGAGCTTGGAGGACTGCATCCATACATCTCTGACATGACTCAAATCACTGATTAATAAAGTCATCTGGAATGGCAAAGAAAGCGTTCCTGCAGGACTCCCAGAGTTCCTCAAGATCCTTTGGGGTCATCTTCAATGCCTCCTCCATCTTCCCCCAGATATGCTTAATAACGTTCAAGTCTGGTGATAGGGCTGGCCAATCCTGGAGCAGCTTGACCTTCTTTGCTTTTAGGAGCTTTGATGTGGAGGCTGAAGTATGAGCACCGCTATCCTGCTGAAGAACTTGCCCTCTCCTGTGGTTTGTAATGTAATGGGCAGCACAAATGTCTTGATACCTCGGGCTGTTGATGTTGTCATCCACTCTGCAGATCTCTCGCATGCCCCCATACTGAATGTAACCCCAAACTATGACATTTTCCTTCACCAAACTTGACTGATTTCTGTGAGAATCTTGGCTCCATGTGGGTTCCAGTAGGTCTTCTGCAGTGTTTGTGATGATTGGGATGCAGATCAACAGATGCTCCATCAGAAAAATCCAACTTCTGCCACTTCTCCAAATGATCAACTAGAAGTCGAGTTATTATTTGTTGCTCTTACAGCTGGGATCAACGACAGGACTTTTGTCAGGTAGTGTAAAAACATTCCACATCCACAAAATCACTCAGTATTTTTCCAAAAGTTGGTCATCCATATTGAAATTTCACTCGTGTACTGCGCATGTGTTAAGGCATTTATTTACTTTACTGCTTTTTGAAACAATGCTGCAATATTTTGAGGAAAATGACACTTTTTTTTAATGAAAGCCAATGAGGTGGAAATGTTGTATATGGGAGTATAAAGTTGCAAATGCGAGTGGGAAAATAGATTGGAATATGAGCCAAAACAACAGCCTTTGAAGAAAATAGTCAGGAGTATTAAATTAATCTTTAATAACGCAGTAAAGATGGAGAGCAAACAAAACAACTACTGTACAATTGATCATTACTAAAAATGGCATTTAAGTTCCACTTTGGAGAGTATAAGCTATTTTTTTTTGCCTGAAAACTCTGCCTTACGCCCTATTCACACGGGGCTTCAGCGTCAACGCTTGACTGAAGGCGTGTCTGAAGTTGGAGCTGAAACAATCGTCATAGAAGCGTCAACCAATGAAATTCAGCCAGCAATAGGCCACTGTCTGAGCTGGTGTATTTGCATACAGCGATCTGATTGGCTGACGCTTCCATCGGCGCTTGAAAAGTTGAGCTAGTCCCAACTTCTGCAGCGAGGAACGCTTCTGAAGCGGCGCCGATGGATCCACATTGCAGTTCGGCAACGCCTGACGTCACCCATTCAAAGTGAATGGGAAGCGTTAACGCTGACGCCTCGTGTGAATAGGGCGTTAGTGTGGCTGCAAGGCCATAATGGAGAGAAATGCATGCATTTTTAAATAAAACTTTTTAGTGTAGACATGGCCTTGGAAAACAAAAGAATGGCATCCTTTTCTTTTACTAAAAAAGCCATTTTCAACCACAGAAAGAAACGCAAGCCAGAAAAGAAGACCGAATAAAGAAGTCTCCCGAGATCTCAAAAGTCGCTTTACAACCCGCACCGGAGGATGTCTACGAAAGCGATTTTGAGAGTGAAATCGCATCAGAGATTACGCACAGTGAGGTCTCAGAGCATCTCTCGTATGAAGATAAAGACACCTCTTTGGTCAGCGAGGCACAGTACAGCTCTCACAAATCACAGGATGTTGATCATGAGGAGCATTCTTTCTCACAATCTTCTGTCTCGTCCAGTGGAAATTCAGATTCTTCTTCGAACTCTAGCTCATCCAATGCGACAGTGACACGTGGCCCCAGTCTTGAGCGCAATGTGAAGGAGGCTGCGGTACAGACACAGGTGGATGGATTTGCGTACACATGGTCTTCTGGTAGGTCTTTTTAGCATCAGCCAAACCTCATTTATTTGGGGTGTATCTCAAAGTCATAATTTAGGGTAATTTCCATTCTGGTTTCAGAGAAATGCGTTTAGGTGAATCTTGCAAAACACGTCTAGATCGTATTTCAATTTCTTCAAACAGCACATCCATTATGGTAATAGTTTAGGACTAGTTTATTTTTGTTTTCAAAGAAAACTTTCTTAGAAGGGGACCTCAGGAACGTAGTTTAGGACCACTTTCACCAGTCAAACGTATATGTCTATGTCATAAGTGTCCCTCTGGGTTATAGCTTAGGACCACTTTTGTTCTTGCTATGAGATAGATGCAATTAATCTGGTCACAAAATCTGGTCATTGGCAGCATGTAGCAACATTTTGTAGATCCGATATTCAAACTTCCATTTGTTTGGGTCTCCCTCAGGGTAATAGATTGAACCACTTTTGCTTTTATTTTTAACACACAACTTAGTCCTATTTTTATTTGTATAATTATTTTTTTTTCTCAAGGTTTTCATCTTTAAAATGTACAGAACAGTGGAGATTACAGACAGGAAAATGTGGGGAGCAGAGATAGGGAAAGATTTGGCAAAGGACCTCGAGCACCTAGGTGCTATGAAGGCTGATTTATACTTCTGCGTCAAACGCACGCATATGCTACGGCGTTGACGCATAGCCCTACGACCTGGCCGTCGGCGTCGCTGACGTGCACCTCTCAAAAAAATTTAACTACATGTCACAACGACGCGTAGCGCAAGCTCTGTGATTGGTCGGCTTGGTAGCGCTGAAGAGTCTGGGCGGGGCCGAGAGCCGCACGAATGGCGCGAGCCCGATGGAGCGATTATTTACAAGTGTGGAGTCCCGTGAAGGAGCTCCGGATGGAAAGTTTTGTTTTGTGTTTACCTCATAGTTAAAGTTGTTGCACGTCTGCCGGTTCCTGCCTCAAAATTAGCGAGTTTGAGCCACTTGTACATCCAGGAAGTGTTCAGGAAAAGCAAAACAGCAGCGAAGAAACTCGACACAGAGGAACATTAACACCTCACTGCCAACTAGCGTTTCGGAAGTGTTAATGCAGACCAACAGAGACAGCGCGCAGAAGTATGCACTGCTATGCGTGTTGCATGCATCATGGGTTACGCCGGTCACTTGACGCAGAAGTATCAACCATGCTTTTGTCGATGCAGCCACATGCACACATAGGGGAAGATTTGGCAAAGGACCTCGAGCACCTAGGTGCTATGAAGGCTGATTTATACTTCTGCGTCAAACGCACGCATATGCTATGGCGTTGACGCATAGCCCTACGACCTGGCCATCGGCGTCGCTGACGTCCACCTCTCAAAAAAATGTAACTACACGTCGCGTAGCGCAAGCTCTATGATTGGTCGGCTTGGTATCGCTGACGAGTCTGGGCGGGGCCGAGAGCCGCGCGAACGCCGGTCACTTGACGCAGAAGTATAAACCAGTCTTTTGTCGATGCAGACACATGCACACATAGGGCTCAACCTGTGCAGTGCACATGAGCTTTTTAGTCTTGGATAGAAAGTGGTCTTCAAAAATGATCTGAAGTGCTTTAGTTCGCAACAATCTCTCTCTCTCTCAATATTTATATATTTCTGTCTCGAGAGTGATATTTTGTATTGATCGCCCGCTCCTGTTCAAATAACACCGATCGCTACCACGTTTTATTCTGAAGTTTATTCCCACACCGAAAGAAATCTGTTCGGGTCTCGTAGCTCCTGCAGTACAGCCGCGGGAATTCAGACCTCTAGTCTAGATCATACATATACAATTGTATGTATTTTTGTCATCATATTTATTTATTTATTTAGTCTATCAAGGTTAGTTTGGACCACTTTTTTTGTTTATTTCCTGGAGAAATGTATTTGGTTAAATATCTCAAAACTGTCAAAAAAAATCTGCGTAGGAGTTTTTTTAGGGATACTCTTAGGATTATAGTTTAGGACCATTTTGTTCATGCTCTGAGAGAAATGTATTTGGGGTAATCACAAGACCAATACTAATTTAATCTAGGTCATACTCACATTTCAAAGTTTGGTTGTATTGTCGCAGTGTTTTCATTACAATAATTCGTTTTTTTATCTCCTACATTTCTATTACAGTACCTTAGATAGATTTAAATATGTTTGGTTTTTGCTTTACCCGTTGACTTCTGTACAATTTTTAGGAATGGCTGCTGCTGGTCCTTCAATAGGCATGAAATATGTGGACCCGACTCCAATAGCCAGTCACACAGTCAGCGCTGAAGCCATAGAGAGTGAGTATGATGCCCATTACACACTTTACATCCAAATAACCACAAGTCCAAAAAGAAAATTTGACCAAAAAAAAAAAAAAAAAAAAGTTTCTCTTACTGCAATTGAAATGATTCGTTCCACTTCAACAGCTTTAACATCATATAGTCCTGCCATTTTTGCGCTCAATGACATGTTGAGGCAACAGCTGGGCCTCACGAGAGCGTTCATTGAATCCACAAGACATCACTACACATCAGTGCTCGAGTCGCTGGGGCCTGCAGACTACAAATACACCACACTGCAAGACACTAAAGAGGTAACAACACATTTTTACTGCAGCAGCTACACCATGAGGAATGAAACTAAACTCATCATATCATTCAGCCTATGAAACATTGACACAGCACTGTTTCTCTTACATATTTACTAACAGTTTTTTTTGTCTCTTTTAGTTCATCCGAGCTCACAGGCCACCCAGAATAAGTATCGAAGATGCTCTAGAGGAAGTTCAACAGGAAATGAAGGACAGCCATTACATTTAAATAATCATGTTCAACATTTTGGATGCATCATCCACAGATAACAAAAAAGCCATTTTGTTTACAAAGGGGTCATGAAATACCTTTTTACATTTTGTACTGTACTCTGAAGACCACTTATTATGTTATCAAGATGTTTTTGCATCACAAAAGCATCATGATTGAGAAATAATTGACTATTTTCTGTCCCACTGAAAGTGAAAGTCATGACGTGGCCAAGTATGGTGACCCATACTCAGAATTTGTGCTCTGCATTAAACCCATCCAAGTGAGCGCACATACAGTAATGAACACACACCCCAGAGCAGTGCGCAACTGTGGCGCCCGGGGAGCAGTTACTGGAGGATCAGTGCCTTACTAAAGGGATTCACCTCAGCCATGGTATTGAGGGTGGTGAGAGCAATGGTTATTCACTCCCAACACCTACAATCCCTGTAAGGTCCCGTGACTCAAAGCTGTGACCTTTCTATCGCAAGTCAATTCAATTCAGCTTTATTTGTATAGCGCTTTTACAATGTAGATTGTGTCAAAGCAGCTTCACATAAATGGTCATAGTAACTGGATCAGGGTAGTTCAGTTTTTAGTGTTTAAGTTCAGTTCAGTTTAGCTCAGTTCAGTGTGGTTTGAAGTCATTATTGAGAGTCCAAACACTGAAGAGCAAATTCGGCGATGAGTAGCTTTTCAGATCCTGAACCATGCAAGCCAGTGGCGACAGCGGAGAGGGAAAAAAACTTCACCAATAGGAGAGTGAAGAAAAAAAAACCTTGAGAGAAACCAGACTCAGTTTGGTACGACCATTTTAATTTCTCCGCTGGCCAAAAGTCTTGTGCAGAGCTGCAGTCCAACTCTTGAACCATTAGGCTAAGGTGGCCCCACTTTTACTTTCACTTTCACATTATTGTGTAGTACAGGCGTGATCAACCCTGTTCCTGGAGATCGACCTACCTGCAGATTTCCAAGTGGTGCTCGCTGCAGAGCCATTTGAGGAGAGCTGAGCTCCAGCGAGGGGGTGCTTAAGCTTGAGCTCCACCTTTTTTGCACTTCTTCTACGAGTGATGTCACTGGGGGTAGGGTTAGGGGTGGGGTTGGTGTACGCATTAAAACAGCTTACAGGAGGAGGAGCGACAGCTCATGCTCCCCCTCGCTGGAGCTCAGCTCTCCTCAAATGGCTCTGCAGCGAGCACCCTCTCGCAGATTTCACCTGCAACACATATCGAACACACCTGCCTGTAATTATCAAGTGCTGTTCAGTGCCTAATTAATTGGTTCAGGTGTGTTTGATCAGGGTTGGAGCTGAACTTTGCAGGAAGGTAGATCTCCAGGAACAGGGTTGAGCACCACTGGTGTAGTAGAGCATCCCAGTCATTATGGCGACTGCCTTCAATATAATCTGTTTTTAGATTTATAAATGCGTTATAGTATTATAAGTTCATATATGTCAAAAGATCAAAGGAATTTTGTTTTGTCAATTCATGACCCCTTTGAATCAATGCTTATGCAATAATGTGCCTAAAAAAACAGCTTTTTTTTAGTATCTATTTATTTTTGTTCACATTAAACCAAGACAAAATCATGTATGCATGAATTAAATGTTTACATAAAGATGGTGCCCTTTTAAAAAAGTCTTTTATTTTGCTTGTACAGAGTCTTCGATTAATCGAACGAAACACTGGCGATGACACTGACACTTCTGCGAGTTACAGTTTGAAGCTTGGATGAATTTCACTACAAAAATGAACAGAGGGCGAAATAAAACATCCAAAGTAAAAGTGAAAATTTGCTCGGGGACATCTACAGTATAAAACAGACCGTGGTTGATCACTCGGTGCTCGCGGGCTCCTGCGGGTCTCTGCTTACTGAGGATAAAACAGATCACAGCACATGTTTATAAAGTACGCAAACATGCAAAAGTTCAGTAATTGCGGTAAATGGTTTGGAGAATAAAAAGAAAAACATGGCATTGACGTACCTTTTTCTCTCGCTTTCATTCTTGCGACAAAATTGTAGCTCTTGTTCCTCCTGTAGTTCACGTACGGGTCATCCAGAGCGACTCCCACTCCTTTATACTGATCCCACTTGTCCCGAATGTCTCCACCTTTGATTGGGTCTTGAATACCTTGTTCTTTAGCGCCAAGACCTCCTGATCCACTCCAGCCTGCGGGACGAACAGGAATGGATTAGGTGCTCCATCCTACTCAGAATATGCATATATTCAAGCCTTAAGGTCTGTAAACGCTCTGCTCTGATTGGGCAGCTGACTAATGAGTCGTTTACACCAGACGTGGACTGCACCGATAGATTGCAATATTCGCGTGTAAATAGACGCATGAACATTTTAAGTTTACTCACTTCATTCTCACGTCAAATTCACTTTACGCTAGACAAGGATTCGCATCATAGGCAGGGCTTCTGTCTGCCCGGTGACTCTAGTTTTGTTGCTAATGGCTGACATACATTTTAATGAGAGATTAGTTGTGTTTCATGTACTTTAGGAAGGCAGAAAAACGGCATAGATTCGTTCGGCGCCTTGTCTGAGTTCATTAGATCCTTTCAGAGGTGCACCCAGCGCTGTGAATTCATCAACTCCTACATAAACTACCTGGATGATGGATGATGGAAGCTTTCAGCAGTGCTTCTGACTGAGCCGAGCCCAGTTTATTGAGCTGTTGTCAGGTGTCGGCAGGAGGATTTTCCCTTAGGACATCATTAAAAGGCGCTACATCGTAATCAAACCCATACAAGAGCAAGCTCCTGATTGGTTAACGCAGCAGGAATGTCAGCTAAAGTTCAGATTTTCCAACTCGAGCGATACGGCAAATGACAAGTTAAGCGTGTCAAAGCCCAAAAGGCTGAATTCACGATGTGTCATTCGTTCCATTCTCATCGCCTCATTCACGTGACTGGCCCTGCAGGATGTCTAATCTGGTATATGCATTGACTTAACACGTAAACTGAAAAAATAAAATAAAACATTTCGGCAGATACATCGTCATATACGCAGCCTTTTAAATCAGGGCTCCCCAACTACCAGGTCGAGGCTACGTACCGAGTTGTGAAAGAGTTTCTACCAGGTCCCAAGAAAACAAAGGTACTCTATTTGTGATCCCACTTTATTGTGAGTTACCAATGCAGAAGTATAAATCAGCCTTTAGCAACATATCGAAAACAATCCGACGGGTACATCAACCATCTTTACTAAGATAAACGAACATTGAGTACGTTTGCATGGGCAACAATACTTTAATACGATTAAGAGAATGATTAAGAGTCAGCGATTTTTGGTTACCTTAATCAGACTAAAGTCATAACTGAACTAATCAAAAATGGAATTAATATGTGGAGTATGCAAATATTAGTTGTATTATTAAAGTAAACACTGCAATCACACTATTACCTATAACTGTTAACCTTTTTACCTGTAACTAGGTACTTTCGCCACATTTTAAGACAAGATCCACAAACGCGGCTGTCAGTAAAAGACCGCACTTTTCTTTCCATTTGGCGTGCGTTATTAAATTCCATTAAAACATCACTCTTCCATCAGTCCTTACTTCATATTCACGTCTTAGGGTGCTTTCACATCTGTAGTTCGCTTCATTTGGTCTGGATCAAGGGCAAAAAGTGATACATTGTTGCATTTTCTGCCGTCTTTGGGTCGTTTTCACACCACACTGCTGGCTTTGGTCCAAACCAGATTAAACGAACCAAACTGCAGTCATCTGACAAAATCCACATCTCTCATTGGTCAGATGTTGTTGAATATATTTCCTAAAGTGCTTTTTGATTGGTTAGAATTCACGTGCAGGAAAATGCCAATAAAGTCCCACAAGTAAACAAACCGGCACACACAAAATGTCGGTTTTACTCTGGAGGGACGACTGCGCTGACTGATTGTATGCCTGCTTTAGACAAACTAAACATTTCGAGAATAAAGTGCGGCCGCGGCTGAAAAACAATGTTTTAATGCATCACACGTCACTTCAGGAGGAGGCGTGAATAAATTTAGCTAAACTGCGACATAGTCATCTTGCAGAAATATTACCAACAATCCATCAGGTAATGTTTTGCCTCTTTCTCTCTTTCTGTTGGTAAAGCGCTGTCAACAAATATTTTTCCTCCATATCCCATACTGCACAGCGCATCGGCCTACGGTAGCTGGATTAGTCCAAAAAGCCACAGTACTTTCTGAGGTTGGACCTGTTTTAGTACAGATCATATTCTCACCACAAACGAACCGCTCCAAGAGGGAAAACGATCTCTAGTGCAATTCAATCTAACTAAATAAGGCAGGTGTGAAAGCACCCTTATACCCCAGTTTGTCATTGTAAGAATTGAAATATTACAAATATTCTGATATCTTTGACAATTCAAATCATGAGCTGAAGACAGGGCCAATGGACTCCACAACCCACCAGGGGGGAATGCGTGAAAAACCAGTTCCTGCTGCATTTGCATCTGACTATGCTGAGACTCAGCTTCATCCCCCCAATTCACGCATATGGTCATTTCAATGTTTGAATGTTTTAGATTAACCAAACTGACTAATTATCATGTTTGATATCATTTGAAATGTCTCAGTGCGATTGGTACAATAGTCTCATTCTCTCAGAAATAGACATAATCAAAACAATAAATATATAACTTCAGGCATCTTTTGAACCACTGTGAAGGGTGTGACTTTTTACACACACCCCCTTCCTTGAGGGAATTCTTGGATTATTTAAGGCAAGGTTTGAGAAAAACTCAAGGCGATTCTGCCTAACCAAATCAGCCCATAACATGGGGTCTGCCCCATGTTATGTATATTTCAAAGTCAGGAATGCATCTTTTTCATCTTGGAGTTATCTTTGATAATTTGATGTTTTGTATTGATCATTTATGAATTGACTGATTGAATTGGCATAATACATTTACCTGACTAATAAATTATGTTTTGAATGATTCAAACAGAGTTTGTGTTATTATCACTGATAAATGTTGTTGTCCATAGCACTACAAGCCACTGTACAGGTTAGTAACGGACTAAAACATGTTAGACGGAGCAGCGTGGCACACTATTCAATGTTGTTAGAGATCCGACTAACAAATTGGCATTTATTCATGTATACTTGGACTGTAAAAGGCCAACTATTTAGAACAACAAAATATTGTTGAAACTACTTTAAATGTGGATATTTAGGCCTTCATCTACAATAGTATAATCCTGCGCGATTATTATCAAAATACTTTGTCTTGATTAGACAACAGTAGATAACAGATCCATGGGGACCACATAAAAATCTCCTAAATTGAGTAAGTAGTGTTCTGCCTTTTTAGGAGAGTGGTTAATCGCCTCTGTTTAATGACCAAGACTGACAAGCTTGTATTAAGAGATTGTATACCCGGCCGGTGCAAGACTCGAGATGCTATCGGAATCTGAGTAAATGAGAATAAGGTATAATAACAAATCAAAAGAATATTCAATCATAATCTAAAATAATGTGAAAGGAAGCAAAATAATCTTATCAATGTTTTATAATTGGAGTCAGATAAAACGAGGATAAACACATTAATATTCTAAACCATCTCATA